CGCAGGAAGTGTCTCGTAACACCGTCTGAAGTCATGCAGAAATATCTCTACCCTTATCGGCATCTGCAAAGTTTCTGTTTGTCAAACACTCAGCCAGCAGCTCTGGCCACATCCCAGGGAGAACCCCGACAGATGGTACAGCTGGAACCCAGAATCCAGTGAGGATCCGAGCCCCGGTGGCACTGGATTTCTACAGTCGGTCACTGGAAGTGACATTCAAGAGCTTGGGGTTCCCACATATAAAGGGAGAATAGGAAAGTTAGAAAGAGGGGTGCATCTTATGCCTCAGTGCATCACACTGGACCCCACAGCTGCTACAATTATTACACAGCAGCCTGAAGAAGAGTAGGCTTCGTCTTGGTATTTGCAAAATTAGTGCCGTTGCTGCCCGCTGGCCAGTGCGCAAGCTTTGCTGCTTGGAGTTTCTCTCAGAGAGAAGCAGGGATGGCCCAGATGGATCCTCATCTCTAGACTTACTCATCTCAGGGGGAAGAAAAAGAAAGCCGGAGCTTCACTTTGGAGCCTGGAGTAGAGTTCAGAACTTGAAGTCAGGGGAGTTGAGTTCTAATCCCAATTCTGACTCCGAGTACACTCTAGGACCTTCTGAGCCTCAGTTTGCTGATCTGTACCGTTGTCTTGGAGTTTGTGATGGCTATATTGATTGCTAACTTGACAGGGTTGCCGGAGAGACACACCTCTGGGTGTGAGGATGTTTCCAGAAAGTTTTACCTCAGGTGAGAAAACCTGCTGTGAATGTGAGTGGTACCCGCCCAGAGACTGAGATGCTGGACTGTACAAAAAGGGAACCCAAGGTGAGCGGCAGCACTCATCTCTCTACTACCTGACTGCAGTGTGACCGGTCAACCTATGCTCCTGATGCCATGATTTCCCTGACATGATGGACGTGTATCCTCCAGCCGAGTCAGAACAAACCCATCCTTCTTTCCACGGCTTTTCGTCAAGTTTTGTGTGAGAAATAAGAAAAGCAGGTAACACAGAGTCCTAGCATTTAGCAGGATAGTCTGTTGTCCCCCGAGACCTTGTCTCAGCCTCAGCCCCCATGACAACTGCCATCCTTTCATAAGTTAAGATCACAAGCTCAGTGATGAGAGATCTCTGGGGCTGAAACCCTGCTAGGCATGTGGTACATTTCAAATCAGAGTACCAAGTCTGGCTGGAGAATGTTATAAAATAGTTGCTAAGTGGGGTGGAACAAAAGTTAGCTTGAGCTGGAGGAAGGTCAGAACTTGAAGGCAACAGACCCACGTGATCTATGCCAAAAGCAGCAGTGACCTCGGGCCAGGAGCCCACAGCCAGCCCCTGTTCTTCCTCAGGATCCTCCCCGCCCCCATGTCACCTCCAGCAGCTCCACATAGAGAAAGGGATTCAATGGTCTCCCAGAATGCCAGGCTCAGGAAATGTACCAAGTTGTAGACTGAGGAGTCTGGGGGATTGGCGCTCCACCCCCATCCTCCTGAGGCATAGATGAGGGTGAGGATGTATAAAAGAAGGCCAGGCGTGTGCATTTGCGCAGCCCTATCTTCATGTGTAGAATGCCTCTGTTTGGCCCAGAGTAAAAAGAAGCCATTCCCAGACATCAGCCACAGTGGACTGTCACAGGACCCACAAACCTTCAGGATCTTAGCAAAGTTGCAGTTGACTCTGTTACTGTTAAGATGCTGGGTTCCATCCATGGCTAAGAGTCCCATGGAGAAAGCCCTGCTCATCCACTGTGTGCGTGCGTGCGTGCGTGCGTGCGTGCGTGTGTGTGTGTGTGTGTGTGTGTGCATATGTGTATGTGTGTTCATGTGTCCATCTGTCCTCTGAGGGGTGGAAGAAGGGAGGGCAATGACCTAATAAGAGTTATCTGTGACTTACGCACTTTGCAGAGCAAGTTGGAAATAGTGTTAAGATGCCCGGGTGTAGCAGGAATCTTAGAAGGTCTTATTAATAAAATCAAACCTGAAGCCAATTATGGGGTGAATGCTGGAAGATCAGAGAAGCAGAACAAGCCACACCTACCTCACCTTGCCAATTCCTCAGCTGATCCTGTTTCCTCAGACTGGAAGCCTCTGAGTCCTCATCCAGAATGAAACTCAGCTGAACTGCTGCTCGAAAGCTGAAAGCTTAACCAGCCAAAAGCTTCTAGTTTCTGGTCCTCACGCCTTATATCTCTTTCTGCTTTCTGCCATCACTCCCTGGGATTAAAGGCATGTGTCACCATGCTTGACTGTATCCTTGAACACACAGAGATCCAGAGGGATTTCTGCCTCTGGAATCCTCTATGTTTAATATTGTGACTGTCCTGTTCTCTGATCCCAGATAAGTTTATTAGCATGCACAATATTTCGGGGAACACAATATCACCACACCCGGGCCATAGCTGAAGGACTCCTCTTTCCTCTCCATATCCTGGCTGACATGTTCCCCACCATGTACATGGAGTTAGCTGAACTGCTGGGCTTTCCCTGTGATCTTTGGGTAGGGCAGAGGCCTATGCCCACATCACCCCATTGTGACCAGGGCAAGGAGCCTCTGACAGCAGCTACAGATAATTTTCCATGTTTATTTTATTTATTTATTTATTTTTTGCTCTTGCTTTTCCATGTTTACTTTAAAGAACAAACAATTACTTTGGCCTACAGGGTAATCAGCTTTGAGGCATCTCAGCCCAGAATAATGACTATCCGCTGTAATCCCAGCGAGGAACTGGCTTTATCCTACACCCAGCTGCTCTTTTTCTGGCTAACCTCACCTCACTCTTGAGGCCTCACTCACTCTCTGCTTGATTTGATGACTGTTACTGCCTTGGGGCCACCATGCCCACAGCTCCAACCTATTTTGCTCTGGAATATAGGCTTCCTAAACTTCCAATGCCAAACCTTTCCTGATTGTCTATGCTGAGAAATCTCCAGGAGAATTCAGAATTCTGACAGCTTTCCTCTTGGTCAGGTGGATGTGGCTAGAAGGTAGCACAGAGACAGGGACAGGAGTGTTTCTGGGGGAGAAAGGACCCACCAAGGGTCAGGATCAGCACCTGGAAACAGTCACGGAGAAACAGGCAGAAAGTGCACGTAAGAGGCTCACTGTTTCAGAGGGTGCAGTCCATGGTGGACTGACCCATGTGCTGGAGCAGAACATCCTGGAAGAGGTAGTGTATGATGGGGGAGGCACAGAGGGAGGAGTGTGTGATGGAGGAGGTGTGGAGGAGGAGTGTGTGATGGAGGAGGTATGGAGGAGGAGTGTGTGATGGAGGAGGTATGGAGGAGGAGTGTGTGATGGAGGAGGTATGGAGGAGGAGTGTGTGATGGAGGAGGTGTGGAGGAAGAGAGTGTGTGATGGAGGTATAGAGGAGGAGTGTGTGATGGAGGAGGTGTGGAGAAAGAGAGTGTGTGATGGAGGAGGTGTGGAGGAGGAGTGTGTGATGGAGGAGGAGTGTGTGATAGAGGAGGTATAGAGGAGTGTGTGATGGAGGAGGTACAGAGGGAGAGGAGTATGTGATGGAGGAGTATGTGATAGAAGAGGTGTAGAGGAGGAGTGTATGATGGAGGAGGTATAGAGGGAGGGAGGAATGTGTGATGGAAGAGGTATAGAGGAGGAGTGTGTGATGGAGGAGGAGTATGTGATGGAGGAGGTGTGTGTGATGGAGGAGGTGTGGAGGAGGAGTGTGTGATGGAGGAGGTATAGAGGAGGAGTGTGTGATGGAGGAGTGTGTGATGCAGGAGGTGTGTGTGATGCAGGAGGTGTGGAGGAGGAGTGTGTGATGGAGGAGGTATGGCGACTAGGAAGCAGAGAAAGGGTAAAAGAAATGGGGACCAAGTATAACCTTTAAAGCCACCTACTTCCTTCAGGTAGGCCACACCTCCAGAGGCCCAGAGCCTTCCAGAGTACCCATCACTAGCTAGTGACCAAGTCTCCCACACATGGGAGCCTGTGAGTTGTTTCACATTCAAATCATAACCGGTCCCTGCTTGGTGTGAGAGACATGCTTCCCCATGTCACTTGGTCGATTTTAGATCAGCATGCAGCATCATGGGAAATCCGCCCTGTTGACTCTTTGGGCTGTTTGAACATCTTACAGGGGCTCTCTCAGAGCCCTACAGTGCTTCACTGCGGACCTCTCCAAATGGTACTGAGCGGTTGTCACAAATTCACCGCCAGCTAAAGAACCGTGGAATACACTTCTTTTAAGGAAAATGTGAAACCTACGCTTGCCTGAGATCCTGAAAGTAAAAACAGAATGCGCTCAGAAAGTGCTTACTTGGGTGGTTTGTGCCTGGTAAACCTCAGACTGTATGCTTGGAAGTAGCCAGTGGGTGGTCTGCCTCCCTCCCCGGGCACCTACCCGTCTCAAAGCAGCCACGGCCCTCACTCTCTCCTCCCCTTGCTCAAAAGAGTTTTCCCTGCAGGGAAAACGCCTCCCTGTGCCGCACCTGGGGCACGGCTCCTGCCCTCCCCCCATTCCACCCACATCTTACCAGTGAATTTGAATTGCCCCCCTCCCACCCTACCCCTCGAGTGCGTTGCTAAGTTACAGAAGACAATTAGGACCAGCTTTGGGAGCTCTTTGCCATTCCAGTCACGAACAGCTCTTTCTAGCGCCCCTTTCTTTCCCTGGGAGTGGTAGGGGAATGCTTGTTAAACTATAATGGAGAAAAACCTCTCCTGTTCAGAGCAGGCGGCAGAGGCGGCTTTTCATCACATGGCTCTCACTAACTGCTCAAGTGGGCAGACACCGCTCAATCGGATCCAACCCTCTTAAGAAAATGTCTGCAAAGCCATTGTATACCTGCACAGCGGGCTGACTACCCAGGGAAGCAGTGAAGCTCCCCTTTGGAAGTGGCAGAGAAGCGCTGTCCCTGCTGGGGCTGGATCCTGCTCCACTGCCAGTGCAGGCGGTCTGCCCAAAAGGTGGCTCCCTTTGCTTTCCAAAGTAACTATTGCAAGACAGATCAAACAAAAGCAGTTTTAATCTGCTCTGACTAATATCACAAACCAGCTCCCCAGTGCCCATAATACGGTCCCCTGAGCAAATGAAGGCTCAGAAGAATGAGGAACTTGTACCGGCTGCTTCAGGGAGGTCAGTCCAGGGCAGCTGTCTTTTGCCCCAGAAGATTGCTAGTGACTTTTGGAGCCCAAATTGGTCAGATTGCCTGAGGAGGTAGACTCGGGCCATCCTGAGATGCCCAGCAGGCTGTTGCCACATACCCTTTTGTGCCCAAAGCAGGTATTACATTCTGACCTGTATTGTTTTTAAAACACCAACCCGCACGTTGGCTAAGGTCAACCTTGCAAATCACCCTGAGTTCGACTCATACCAGTGATGGAAGCAGGGCAAACCACATCTCTGGCTCAGCATAGCTGTGTGCCTCTGCATGAGGAGCACGCCCTTTCCGATCTCAGAATCCTTACTTGATGAGGAGACAGTGAGTCAGACCTTGCAAAGAGGGAAGCACTGAAGACGCTACATGTGAACGCGGCGCACAGAACCGGGGAGATGGCAGATGCTCAACCCGTAGCCGCGGACTTGGACCTGTTGGTCTAGATTCCAATTTGATGCTTGTGAAGAAAAGCTAGGCCCAGTGGCCTGAGTGAGAACAACACAGTCCTTTGAGAGCAACATGGCCGCTGCCAGTCACCTAGGTAAGCATGTGACCTATGACCCACACAGGGAGAGTCTCCAGAGAAATGGGGCCCAGAGGCTTATGGGAGCATCTTATCTATCTGCATGCAATGTAAAAAGCAGCTCGAGGCCCAACTCATGGAAACAGATGAGGAAAGTGGAGCAGACAGAAGACTAAGTAGAGGTACCACGGGCGACTCCTGTCCTCTTAAGAATGGCATGCAGGTTTTAAACGGTAAGACGCAAAGGGCAATTCGCAGCACAGAACAGCTGATAGGTGCTTAAATATTTACTCACACGCAGAACAGTTGTATTTCCCACAAGTGTTCAGGTATCCACATCCAGCCGTGTGCCAAATGTGCCGTGGGGCCACGAGGTGGGGAGAAGGCTGCTAGGCGTGGAGATGAAGTGAGAAAGGGGGTGAATTAAAACAGGATAAAGATCTTGTGCAAGCTATTAGCGAATGTTGTATAATTAACCCTTCACTTTATATAAAAAGAACAAAGTGGTTTCTAATATGTGGTTTGGTTGGTTGTGTGTGTGTGTGTGTGTGTGTGTGTGTGTGTGTGTGTACACAAGTCTAATTTTATTTATCAGTCCAATGGCAAAGACAAGGGGAATTCCTGTCCAGTCCTGGTTGATGCTGTAACTCATTTTACAGCCACGATCCTTAGCACAGCGCCAAGCACGCAATGGACAGGAAGTAGATGTCAGTGAGTGAATAAAACAAAACTTACTACTATCCACGCTGGACGCTCCTCTCTGTGCTGGGCAGAACCTTGGGACTGAGTGAAGGGAACATGGGGGACTTCCTGGAGGCAAGGTATTTGTGGCTGTGAAGGAGGAGAGAAAAGGGTGATGGGAGCCGGCTTCCAACCTCCAAGGAAGCCACTCTTAGGAAGGACAAAGGCTGAGGCGAAGCCGTCTTCACCAGCTCCTGCAGTGCCCAGTAAGGACTGGCCTTCTCAAAGACCGCAGCACGAGAGAAGACGGCTTCTGCTCCCTCTTGCTGACTTCCAGGGGGAGGTATGAGGTATATCACACAGTGTAATTGATACCGTGTGACAGCAAGGTCACAGGCCACCTCCCAGACCTAATTGCACATTTAAGGGGGAAATTGCCTTCTAAGTGACATGTGACACACCGAGGCTGATGGATTCCAGAGTCCAGGCTGGTCAGGCTCCATTCTCAACATTACATGTGTGCACAGGACCCGGACTTTCCCATGCTGCCCAAGTCAGTGTCTCTGGAGTGAGAACATGCCATTTGAGCCTTTTTCTCTTTGGGAAGCAGCGTGGCCTGTGACAGTGAGAAATAGCTAGGCTCAGTCCTCGGTCACTTATTCTAAGTTATTGGCATCCATGTAATCTCCCCAAAGTCCTTTCTTCCAGAGCAGGGGACTTTCTAGCTTGCTGTTATGTGCCTTTGTTTGTGTCCAGCAATAAAACTTGTCGGCACATCCTTTAAGGGTCTTATCCCAGCACTTCTGTTTGGACGTCCAGTCAGTGGAAGGAGATAGATGGTGAACTTTGTGCCTAAAAGGGTTCAGGATTTAAATTTGTCTGCTTTTGATAAAGAGCCCAAGAATTCCAGATTATTTCAGTCCTTTCATTCTCCTTCAGTTCGGAGGTACCGAATTTTTCATATGAAATCTCTCATTTCTGTTTTGAAATAACGGAATCTTGAAAACTAAAGATCTGGCCTCAAGCAGGAAAAGCCGATAGATCATCACTTGAGAGTCAGGGGGAGCGTTTGGCTCTGTGATTGATTGTAAACAGCGTGTAGATGTCCTGGAGCCGCACTGTCCTCATGGGAGACTCTGAAGGAGGTACACAGGATGATTAGACTAAGGGTGTGGCGGCCAGTGGCCCAAAGACCGGAGTTAGTAATTTCAGATGGTGCCCTGGAAGTTTTAGGTTCTTTCTTATGGTGCAAGACAGAGAACGGGAAGAGGAGGGGAGACGAGGAGAAGGAAACAACTCACTGTAGTTGTTCCTTGGTATTATAACAAGAATTGGTTCCGGAACGGCCCCTGTCTCACCTCGTGAGTACCAAAGCCAGACAATGCTGGAATCCCTTATATAAAATGGAATTGTATTTGCACAGAACCTATGCACGGCCTCTCATGCTGTTAATCTCCATACCGTTTGTATATATATATATATATATATATATATATATATATATATATATATATATATAATGCCTAACACAGAGAAACCTGTATAAGACAGTGCTGGGCTGTCTTGCCTGGGAAATGATGACAGGAACATGGGTCTGTTCATGTTCAATGTCAGCACAGCTTTTTCCTGAGTATTTTTGGGTCTGTGGTTGGTTGACTCCCAGGTGCAGAAGCTTTGGGTACGGAGTGCTGACTATATGTGGGGGAAGGCATATTCATTAACTTGGCTGTAGTAGCCACAGTTGGCATGTCTACCAAATCAGGGATGTCAGACCTTCATGTGGTACATCTTAAAATACACACAATTGAGAAGTAAAGACCAGTAATGGACTGGCTTCTGTGCAGCTAGCCCTGCCAAGGCGACTTGGCCAGAGTCTCTCAGATAGAAAAGGCCAGACCAGCAGTCTGCCTTCTCCCTGCTCTGGCCTCTCACTGACTCTTGCTGCACAGAAGGATGGCAGAGTGATCTTTACAAAGAGGAACTTGGCTCATATCCTCCCTCCCTAAAGCTGCAGATGCAAATAAAACTCTGAGGTCTTTGTAGGACCCTGGGCAACCTGATCCTTGTTTATTTGGACAGTGTCATTCCACACACCAGTTTTTGACTACAGTCTGGTCCCCATATCCCAGGGCCTTTGCTCTACAGCCTGCAATGCTCTACTTCCTATCTTGCCCTGCCTCTTCTGCATCTTCTAGTCCTTAGGTCAGTGACATTTCCTCTGAGAACTCCTCCCTGATTCTCTGATTAGATCAAATCCATCAACTGTTATTGCGAATCACAGGCCTCCCTTAGGAGACTTGCCCATGGTAGGGATGACTTGATAGCATGGTTTACTAAGCAAAACGGAAATTCTGGTGAAGCTGAGTCCATCTTCCAGATGAGTCCACAGGACCTAGAGCAGTAAGGAAGGATGCTGGATGGGCCAGGGGATGATAGTGTGAGCAAACTGAGGCTGAATTCTCATCACATCACAGGATGACAGACTCGGGCTGCAGATAGGAAAGTCACATGTGCTTGGCTGGGCGGCTGAGCTCAGAATTACACATTTAAGAGAGTGACGTTATCAACTAAGGTGACAAATGGCTCCACAGAAAAACAAATGGTGTCATCTGATTTCCAAGGGTCTCCACAGCTGGGCACTGTGCAGCTGGGCACTGTATAGAAGCTTTACACATGTTATATACAGAGGTTAAATGTGTAGACTTGAGGTCACATTGTTGGAAACAGACAAAAAGCACCTTGTCATAAGTACTGCCATTTTTACTTTGGATTCCATTTTACCTGTAGGCTAAAAATCAAGCTCAGGTTCCCAGGCTCTAGAAGAGCTGGGAACCTTCCAATAGCTGACCCACCTCCTCCTTAAACCATAGTTTAGAAATAGTCATTATGCATTTTTAGTTCTCTAGAAACATCATGGCTGTTCCTACCAACAGAAAGAACAAATGAATCTGATTGGTTGGACTGAAAAGCTTGCATTGTATATCGGTTGACAATGATGGAACATTCAAGGAAGCCCCCAATCTCTAAATCCTGACTGGTAAAAATTGTATCTGTAACTTGGCAACAAATATTTGCGATTTTTGTGCTTAAATACTTGCTTCATTTAGGGCTGCTGTTCAGCTCCCGAGTATGTTCTGCAGCCCTGATTGGTTAGGCCCCCTCCCCTTCCCATCTTCTTTTGTACTGCCCTGAATTAAATCTTGCCTTGAGGTAACTCCTTGTGTCTGCTCAGGTTGAAGCACCCAGATCTGTGGTCTTGTTTGTAAAATGAGATGATAACATCATTCACAGAATGTTCACTGTGAAACTTAATCGAGCTAACACCTGTAAATTTCCTTGCACCAACATTAAAATGCTGTGTCTCTTACTTCCATCCCCATAAAAACTGAAGATCATGAAATTCACTGTTTTTTTAGGGTCCTGGAGAAGTTCCACAAGAGACCACCATCCACATATGTAATCAATAAGAGCGTTTATTATTCCAGCAAGCTGGGACCTGCCATGCTACATAAAGGCAAGATGGCGATGACCCTAAAAGGGATGTATGGGGTCCTTTTAAGCATAGCAAAGGGGAGCATCTAAGGAAGTTAGCTTATCTTAGATATGATTGGTCTAAACAAGTGGAAATCATGCTAGTAACTTCTAATTGGCCAGGGCTAGTTAGGGACTGGTCAGGGCTATAGTTTTCCATTTTTGGGCAGGCCTGGATAAGTGCCAGGCCTTGTCCTTGAGCTGCAACGGAGGCTCACTGGCCTAGTATGCACTTTTGGGGGCTGGCTCTGTGGCCCAGGCTTGGTGTATCCATCTCCCTTGTCCAGGTAGTCAGGGGCACCAGTGATACATTGTCTTTTGTTTATGACTCCCTCAGAAACTGCTGTTTAGCCTCAGGAAACTGAAAATGGGGTCTGATCTCTGAGAGAAGACTGAGCAGCCTGTTACATCGTCTGCTCAGTCCTCTCAGTTTCAGTCTTCCAGGTTATGGATGAGAAAATAACTCAGTCTCAGGTGGCTTGGCCCTGTCACTTTGGGCCCATGGCAAGAGAGTGTCATGGTGGGAACATATAGTGGAGGAATCTGTTTACTTCATGGTGTCCCAGAAGCAAAAGAAAAAAGAGGAGGGTCTGGGGCCCCATATCCATTTTCAGAACCCAACCCTTGTCCCTAGCTTCCAGGACTTGCCTCTCTCCATCATGCTACATCAGGAATCAGGTAATGCCAGTGCCAGAGCTTTGATACTCAGAAGAAGCCAGAAAGGGGTCACCTGGGATGAGAGCAAGTGAGGAAACCAAACCTTTTTGAGTTACACCCACGAGTGAAGTCATGTGGTAGTAAAATCTCTGTATCTAGCTTATTTCATGTCATATAATGATTTATTTTCCCATTATGTTGCAAATAAATACTATTTTATGGGTAAATAGTATTCTATGATATACAAGTATCAATTTTTTAAAATACACCTATCAGTTTGTGGTTCTATGTCTTGGAACAATTCTTTGGTGAACAAGGGAGTACAGATGTATCTTCAACAGGTGGCTTCAATTCATCTCTATAAATGACGATAATGCTGTTGAGACACAGCCTCCCAAGTACTGGGATCATGGGTGTGAGCTACTATCCCCAGACTTCGTTCTATTTCTTTTCTCTCTCTCTCTCTCTCTCTCTCTCTCT